TAAGGTTCAGAACTAGAGGCCCATTTCAAAATGTTTGAATTTCGGAAATTCTTACAGAAACGTTAAATGTTAAACAGTATTCATAATAAATGAATTGTTTATTAATCTTGTAGTATAAAATATCTTTCCTTCTATTTTATGTTGTTGATAGTAAATTAAATAAAAAAATCAGCACATCTTTTTAAATAACCGTTAGAAAGAAAAAAAAACAAATTACGCATAAAAAATTAATTTTTATCATCGCTATATTTATTAATATGAATAACAATATCATAAAGAAAAATAGTGAATTGACTTTATGTTAAGAATAATGACGTCATTAGAAAAATTGCTGTAGTGTAAAACACAAGTTTTTGAAGAAAAGTCTGTTAAAAAATTAAACGTAACACAACATTAATAAAATTAACTTTCTTGAGAGAGACTTCGGGGCATTTTTAAGAAGAAAGACAAGACAATTTTGAAACAATGTATTATGTTTTTTTACATCAAGAAAATTACTTATTTCTCGGTTTTAAAGTTTTTCTTTCATTTAGCAGTCAGAAAAGTATGATTTAAAAAGCTGTGGTAAATATTCAAAATACTTTTACTTTTTACAAGCAGAAATATAAATTACACACACAAAAAAAAAAAAAAAATGAAAAAGATATCATTAGCTTGAATTAATAAAAAAAACATAAAATATTTTACATTAACTTTAAGCGAAAAATGATGAATTAATTTTAAATGAAAAATTTAAAATAAACGTCCAGGTGATAAAACCAAAATTCCGATATTACAACGGAACGAAATAAAATAAATAAAACTTATACTTACATCAATTAAATAAGTGTAAAAGCAAAAATTTAATTAAATTTCTTAAGTTGACTAGTGCAGCTAACCATACCTAAACCGAAATTATAAAAAGAAATCGTTGCCAATTGAAATAGGCCTCCAGTTTTAGCCCTCACTTGTCACATGTGTAAGCCTGTAGTATAAAACGACATAGTCAATTTATAATCAATGTTATTATTTTTAATTTTATTTGATTTTCATGTTTACTTCTTTAATATAATACTTTGTATTTATCTCATGTTTATTAAGAGATCCTTCCTGATTATCTTTAACGAAAATTTTGCATTTTTTACATTGGCCATTTTGATGGATAATGTCACACAGAAATCGGCAGGCGGATAGGCATAGCGAAAATGTTCTTCCAGAAATTAAGCAAAGAATTTTAAGACAGAAGAACATAGAGAAACAAAAAAAAAATGTTAAAATGTTTTGGCTTATCTAAGTCGTCCCTCACAAGAATATTGTATATAAATGATGAAAGAAAAATGTGTTAATTGTGCTAATCATTTACCTAATCTGCTGCTAGCAAAGTTGGTTTAGTGTGTTCACTGAATTTTCACCGAAATGTTTTCACGCCAGGGTCTATCTTACATATTTATACGTTTACCATTCGTCCTTGCTGGTTTAGTGCTTCTCTATATATTCTTGATAAAATCCAAAGAAGAATCTGCAATGTTATTGGTCCTGATCTTACATCTCGGATTCAATCACTTTCTCACCGCCGTAACTTATCTACTGTGTGACATTTCTCTCAATATGGTAATTGTTTTTATTGGTACTTAGATTCTATAAATTTTAGTACAGTACGTGATGGCGGCAAGGTCTCATCATTTAACAGTTGAAATAGCGAGATGTAACCGTATATTTTATACTAAAAGTTTCTTCTGTCGCACTTCTTGCATGTGGAACTCTGTTCTGGATTCTTGCTTTCCAGTAAAATTCTATCTTTAAATATTAAATGCAATGTCAATCGTTATCTTCTGTTTAATTCTTGTTTTTTATTGTTCACTCTCCTTAATAGTGTTTTTTCATATTCTCTAACATTCACTAACCACTAGTGTCTTAGAAGCTTTATTGCCTTACTTGGAATGAAATGATTAAAAAGCTTCATCGATATAATTTTAGCAAAGAGATGTGCTTGTTCTATGCGATTTTTCTGGGAAACACATTAAATGCAAATTTCTAAAATTCCTTGTGCATTTCAGAAGAACAATCAATCTCGGCTTCTGAAAAAAAAAAGTTAATTTAAATTAACCGAAGAGATGTAAAAAATGGAAAATAATAAATAATTCAAAGAATGCCTGAGTGTGTATGTGTGTATATGGCGGGGAATTAAGTCTGCAAGGAACCATGAAAATAATTTTGAAGCCGAAGGCGAAAAATGATTCGCTGTCGCAATATTTCCCCTGTTGAGAAAACATTGGCTACCCTTTAGAATTTGGCGGGATAAAGTTCAGCACTTTTGCCGCGAAGGTTAAAAATGCACACATAGAATTTTTACTGTAAACAGCCAGTATATCAAAATAATTACGAACTGATTCTACGTTCTCACACGTCAGCACTTACCACCTCGACCTGCATGCAACTTTATGTACAACAATGCAGCTATATGCTTAATTAAACCTGCGTTTGCCAATTCGTCTCCACTCAATCCTGTACAGATATAAAGTGTTTGAAAAAGGTACTTTTTTGCTGACGTCATCGTTACAAAAATCCTTTTCATAGTTTAGTAAGCGCAATACGGCACAAGAATAAAGAAAGCAAGGCAGGATAGAAATATTGCTTTACTTAAATCATTTAATTCTACTTTTAAAATCGTCATTCAAAATTCGGGTTTGAACACCTAGTTTTGCACTGGTGTGAAAAACATGATTATCTCGACCTTTTACCTCCAGAACAAAACGTTAAATTCGGTTGGTTTATCAGCATATTTTATTCCGATATCTTCTTCAATGTGCCGTTTACCTTCAGCACGTGGGCGATTATGGCTTTCTACAATATTCTGCTTTTTTTTTTATAGCTCTTGGTAACTTTTATATTTTCGCTATCTCTCCTAATGCTTGTTCTGTTAATCATTTACTCATGCTTCTTAGGCAGGTTGTTCTCTGCTTTTCGTTGCTTTTAATATGTCCTGTCAGCGTAATTTTTTTCTAAACGCACTTTCCTCATTATTTGCCCAAGAATGAATCAATCAAAATTTCTGATATCAAGTATAACTCTTTTGTTTTCATTTTCTCTAAATCTTTGTCATTCCTCACATGGTCAGCATCCTTCTGTAGAACCACATTTCTGTTGCCTCAAGTTACTTCATCATCTGTGATGAGATTGTCCAGTATTTACTGCCATATAGGAAGATCAAGATTATATAAGTGGCATGGACTTCTTTGTTTCTAACGACATTTGCCTGTTTCTTAATATTTTGCTCAGCTTCTGTAAGCTATCTTTCGCTAATACAATGGCTCTTTGCATTTCAGTGTCGCATTTTTCATTCCCTATTAAAACTTCTTAGATATCTAATACTATATCCCTGTCGGTTGAACTTAACAAAATTTCTTTAGCTGATTTCTTGTCTAAATATACTTTATATATATATATATATATATATATATATATATATATATATATATATATATATATATATATATGTATATATATATATGCATGTGTGTGTTTGTGTAGTATTTATTCAAAAATTATAACATAAGCATGTTATAACATCACTGCAAAAATATCCATTTTGTTTCAACACTTCTGGTGTCATGTCAAGTGATGGTGTTGATTACAGAATAAAGAGTTTTAAAAAGTTCAAAACCGGCCAAATTCCTCTGTTACGTAACGATGTTTCCCATATTCAAAGGGGTTTGGCTGGTTTTGAACTTTTTAAAACTCTTTATTCTGTAAACAACACCATCACTTGACAAGACACCAGCTGTATTGAGACAAAATGTCTATTTTTGAAGTGATCTTATAA